GGGTCAGAGGTCACAAACTGGTAACCTATGAACTAAAGTAAGCCAACAGACTGTTATTTTGTTAAGGCAGTTAAGTTTTACCTTTGATTTCTTCTTGTTTTAACAATTTGTAATGCCTGTAGGTAGGGCATGCACACAGATGAGGACCCACCACCCCACCCCAACCACTGAGTTACATCTAGACTGTTTGTATTCCCTGCATGAGTCCTAAAAACATTTGAGTTTGTGACTCTAGGGTTAGACCTTTTGCTAAGTTCTTTAGGCTTCTAAGGTTGTAATTCATAAAACCTTTTGAGAGACTTAATGTTCTTGTCCAACCGCAATTAGTAGAGAGATAGATGAGCTGAAAGGAGATGCATACATGGTCAGGGCTAGCAGGTTTCAGGCCCTCTCTGTACATTATCTCCTTTAATCATCACAGCTCCCCAGTGAAGGGCATATTACCATATCCATTTTACAGATGACAAAACAGGCTTAGAGAAGTTAACATCTTGCCCGTGGTCAGAAAGCTTATTAATTGTGGGAATTAGGTTCAAACCCAGATCTGTTTATCTCGAAAACATTCCAATGCCCTAATTTTCCTAATTGGGTAGAAACTTTCCACAAGTATCTCTTGAATGATGAAGGTTAGACACAGACTTTTGAAACATTGTCAAAGTTAGATATATCAAAAATGTCAGATGTCTTAAAAATATCTTAAACTATTTCACAAAATACTTTATTTGCATGGTAGCTTCTTTGACTAGTAGGGGATTGCCTTCATGCTGTGCTTTGGAACATACTTGACTGCCAAAAGAGCCCCATAAAAATTAGGAATAATTATTATTGGAAGAAATTTAGCTTTCATTTACACATTGATGTGACTTTGGAAAATATGTCACAGATCACTCAAATTAGAACTGTAAAGAGATTTTATTTCTATCACGTCATGTGTGTTTTTTTTTTCACAGAATACTAGCTCCCTTATAAATTTTAATCGGTATAAAATATTACTACAACTCCATGTTCCTTAATTTGGAAATAGCACTACTTGATTTATCTAGAAAGTTTACCTGACATAACAGTTCTGGTAAAGAAAAGTTAAGGTATGTCTGAACAAAAGAAGACAGAATATTAATGTGGTCATTAATTGAGTGGAAAATGTTTAGTTGTGCTGCATTTTCAACTGAGAATTTTATAAAACTTAAGTCTGCTATAGGGAATAAAGTTAACAATGTTGGAATAGCTATCTATGGTACCAGGTGGAGACTTGAATTATCAGAGGGAACATGTAACCTACATGAATGTCTATCCACTGCTTTGTACACCTGAAACTAACACAAAATAGTATTAAATGCAAACCATAATAGAAAAATAAAATAATTTTTAAAAAGGGAAAAAAAGACTAAGAGAACCGACAACAAAGGCAGATACCCCTTCTCAATGCTTTTCCCATTAACTCTTCTTGCCAGAGGTATATGAAGTTTACAACAATTTTAATTCAGTTCAACTTTGCTTTACTACTAAATTCATTCAAAAACAAACAAACAAGAAAAGGAAATGATTGATTATGAATTTAAGTGATGGAATACCCAAGCAACAAGGGTGCTAACATTAGAGCCATTTAACTTTCTTTTATAACATGGAGGGTGGATATAGGACATAAATTACTTATAATGAAGTATATGACAAAATTTAAATTACAAATATAGTCATACAAGTATACTTTATGGAAATACTGAGGCAAGTAATCAGAATAGTTGAAAAAGTGGGAAATGATTTACCCTGCAGAATGAGATTTTGGGGTGTTGTTTCATGATGTAAGAGATTGCTACCCTATCTAATAAAGAGGGAATATGCTAATTAACCCTCACGCCTTCCCAAAGATGACGACACCCACGCAGCGGGGGGCAGTAGGGGGAACCAGGACAGCAGAGGAGGGCAGTTGGGGGCGACCAGGCTGGCAAGGGAGGTCAGTTAGGGGTGACTGGGACAGCAGGGGAGGGCAGTTAGGGACAATCGGGCTGGCAGGGGAGCAGTTAGGCGTCGATCAGGCTGGCAGGGGAGTGGTTAGGGGGTGATCAGGCTGGCAGGCAGGAGCAGTTAGGGGCAATCAGGCAGGCAGGCAGGCGAGTGGTTGGGAGCCAGCAGTCCCGGATTGTGAGAGGGATGTCCGACTGCCGGTTTAGGCCCCATCCCACAGGTAAACACATAATATAATATACAGATGATAATATTGTAGAATTATACCTGAAGTCTATATAATTTTATTAACCAATGTCACCTCAATAAACTCAATAAAAAAGAAAAAAGTTCCAGAAATTAATGATAAAAATTAATTTTATTTTACATTTAAAAAGTTAAGTCTGCTCATATGAACAGAAACTTTCTGCTTAGGGTGATTTCCATGTCACTGGATTGGCTTATAACAAACATGGTGCCAAGAAATGTTCAGAGCAAGAAATGTTCAGAACAAGATGTCTATTTTTAAATGGGTTAGGCCCGATCCCACAGGTAAACACATATTATAATATACAGATGATAATATTGTAGAATTATACCTGAAGCCTGTATAATTTTATTAACCAATGTCACCTCAATAAACTCAATAAAAAAGAAAAAAAACAAGTTCCAGAAATTAATGATAAAAATTGATTTTAATTTACATTTAAAAAGCTAAGTCTGTGCATATGAACAGAAACTTTCTACTTAGGGTGGTTTCCATGTCACTGGATTGGCTTATAACAAACATGGTGCCAAGAAATGTTCAGAACAAGATGTCTATTTTTAAATGGGAAAAAGAGAAAGATGATACATGGAAGGAAGAAAGGAAAGAAGGAAGGAAGGAAGGAAGGAAGGAAGGAAGGAAGGAAGGAAGGAAGGAAGGGAGGGAGGAAGGGAGGAAGGAGAGAGAGAGAGAGAGGGAGAGAGAGAGAGAGAGAGAGAGAGAGAGAGAGGGAAAGAGAGAGAGAGAGAGTCTAGATGGGGCACTTTTTTTGTAAATTTTAAATTTAGGATTAACCAGCATTTTTCTGATTTGACCAAAAGATTGATCTAATAATTTTTTCTCTTTTACTTAAACAGTGCTCAAATTTATAGATAGATATTTTCTGCAAGTGCAGTGCAAATTATCCTAGACATATTAAAGCAATTAGATGACTGAATTTCACTTTCTGTGAGTGGATCCTGGGGTCTGGGGAGAGGGGTACCGAAGCTGCTGCCCTTTTCAAATAATTCACAAATGTGCTAATTATGTGTCAGATTTGAAAGCTGAGGCATTGTGACCTTCAAGCCAACAAAAGACCTTTTCAAGTAAGCCATTCCATGTACATTAATAAAGTGAACAATGCCCTTCCACACTTAAATAATGTATGGCTGTTATTTCATTATATGTAAATGGAAAGCAAGGAGTGGTTTCACTGTTGACATATTAAAAGAAATGCTATTGAAAACAAAGGCTATAAATCCGTTTTCATAACATTGGTGATATTCTTCAACTAGTCATCCGAAGATATGTTCCTTGTTTACCGATATGCTCCCATTGCATGCATTTCATGTGTGGTTTCTCCACAACTAAACGTATTTTGGATTTGAGCAATAAAAACTGCAATGTACTGAAGTATATAATGCTAGAAACTGATTGTTGGAAAAGCAAACTCTTTGCAGTGATGAAGACAATGGTGCATTTTGTAGGTTGGGGAAACACTACCCCTCTCCACAAATAATCACCTGCTACCAAGAGGAACGGTGAATAACTGAGGCTCAAAGGAAGGGAAAAGAATCCCATGCTCTTTCTTGTGGCTCTTTCTTTTTTAAAAAATATTTTTATTGATTTCTTGCCCTAACCGGTTTGGCTTAGCGGATAGAGCGTCGGCCTTCGGACTCAAAGGTCCCAGGTTCGATTCCGGTCAAGGGCATGTACCTTGGTTGCAGGCACATCTCCAGTGGGGAGCGTGGAGGAGGCAGCTGATCAATGTTTCTCTCTCATTGATGTTTCTAACTCTCTCTCCCTCTCCCTTCCTCTCTGTATAAAATCAATAAAATATATTTAAAAATATCTTTATTGATTTCAGAGAGGAAGGAAGAGGGAGAGAGAGATAGAAACATCAATGATGAGAGAGAATCACTGATCGGCTGCCTCCTGCACGCCCCCCACTGGGGATTGAGCCCACAACCCAGGCATGTGCCCTTGACGGTAATTGAACCTGGGACCCTTCAGTCTGCAGGCCGATGCTCTATCCACCAAGCCAAATGGACTAGGGCTCATGTGGCTCTTTCATGGTGTAAAGAAAGTAGTGGTGAATATTGGACTTAGGTAATGGACATAAAGGTACTTATTTGAGAGAGCAGCGTCTTCACTGGGAGAGCATAAGTTTCAAAAGCAATAACGTATAAAGGAATTTTAGTGTCACTAATGCTTGGATCAAATGAACTTCTGGGATGCCAAACAGTGCCCACGTGGTTGTAGTAGAAAATCAAGAACAGGAAGAAGAATTTAATTATCTTGTATTTGTCCATCTTTGTAGTATAGTTTATGCTGAATAAAACATGAATAAAGATACAGTCATTCTTAATGCAACTTAAGTAGACATAGAAATCTCTGGGAAATAATAAACTAATTACAAACTTAAAATAAACCACAATCATATGAGATTCCAAGAACTTATTAGCATTCAATCCATAGATAGAAATTTTTTCAGCCCCATAGGAAACCATAATACTTAGCATCTTATTGTGAATTAGATTTTGATACCAAGAGACTATACAGGGTTTACTGATTCACTCACTAGTTATTTCTTTTGTTTTAAATAATTTTATAGGGACCTTTGTTGTTATTTGTTGTAATAGATTTTCAGGATACTTTCATAAAACAGATACCATGGACATTTGTGAGAATGCTAATGTTTGTTACTGAGACTTTCAATGTATGGGTACATGTGCTTACTTGTCTAAGAAAACAAATGTTTCTGTATTTTCTTGATAATCTGAAATAATTTTCAATATTTTGGATTGTATTTAAGGTGGCAAATCTTGCTTGTTCCATGTCAACAAATGAAGATGGAATTAAAATTGTCAAAATTGCAGCCAACCACTTGGAAACTTTGTGTCCACAGGTATGACTACGTTACTGTCTCTTTCACTAAACTAGCTGTAAGAATTATCTACAATGCTTCAGACTTTTATACACATGGAACGATATTTAAATATTTATTTTAAACACAGAAGATAACTTGTCGTAAGGTCACGGTTCATTCTTTACTAATCACCTAGTTCTTTACTGAGCACATGGTTCTCATAACATTCCCTAAGGCCCATATCAGAATCTTGTGAGAGAAAGGTATAGCTTGAATCAAAGCAGTGTTTTGTTCAACAGATTTCATGTCTTCATCATTATTTATTTTGAAACCTCCAACAGAATGAAAGGAATGACATTTTTGCCACTTTTATCAAATGAAGGCATGGGTTTGAAAAAAGCCAATAATTGTTTTCCTGTCTACAATTCAGGAGTTTTTGAAATCTGAAGAGCAATACATTTTTAGGGAATTATTTTTAGATGACTAGTAATCCTGAAGCCATGGATCAAGATGGGCATAAGGGCAATCTTAATCATGTTGTCTTAGAATAAGCTCTGTATTCTGTTCCACTACTCTAATTCTTTATCCTTGCAACAGTATTGCAATGTCTTAATTATGGTTTTATACTAATCTTATCTTTTATGCAAGTTGGTTCACTTTGTTTTGTTTTTTCTTTAAATTACTGTTGTTCTTATTTTGCTCTTTCATATAATTTTTAGTTCCATGAAAATACATGTTAGAATATTTATTGAAATTGCAAAAAATATTTTAAATTGTTTTAGATATTCAGTATCCTTTAAGATATTGAATCTTTTCATTAATAAACATGTTTTATGTATCTCCATAATCAGATCTTTTTTAATGTTTCTCAGTGATTCCTTAGTTTTTTATCATTTATTACAATAAATTACATGGCTACATGCTGAAAGCTTCAAAATTTTTCTCTCTAGGCTAACCCACTTCCCTAATGACCAGACCTTAATGTCTAGTTTTCCCCTTGACATTTCCACTTTGATATCTAGAGGACAATTAAAACTTGAAATAGCCAAAATGGAATTCTGGTTGTTCCATCCCTATCTCATTCTGTTGCTGCTTCTGTCTTCCCGATTTTACTAATGGCATGGCCATTCATCTGGTTGCTTGGGGGAAAAAACCTGGAGATTTTCTTTATTCAGTCAGTAAGTGGTTATTGAACATATAGCCTGTGGTAAGCACTGTTTATGCATCTGGGGAAAAATAGTAAAGAAAACAAGCAAAAGTCCTTGCTCTTGTGAAGCTTATATTCTAACTAGAAGCTCAGTGCATGGATTTGTGCACAGGTGGGGTCCCTTGGCCTGGCCTGCAGGGATCGGGCCAAAACTGGCTAACATCTCTTGAGGGGTCCCGGATTAGGAGAGGGCGGTTCTTGGGTGACACACCCCAGAATTGGGCTCCCTCCTCTCTGGTTCCGGGTGCGTCACCTGAGAACCGCAGCTGCCAAGTCACTGCAGCTCAGAGCTCCTGCGTGGAGCGTCTGCCCCCTGCTGGTCAGTGCGCGTCATAGTTACCGGTCAGATGGTTGAACAGTCGGATGGTTGCTTAGGCTTTTATGATATCTAATGGCTAATTTTTTCTATCTAATCCATTAACAAGTCCTATAAATTTTACCAAAAATATTTATCTTGAATTTATGTATTTTTGTCCATCTTATCTGTCAACACCTTAGCCTATACCACCATCATCTCTATCTTGGGCAACAGAACTGTCATCCTATATGGCATCCATGTTTGTACTAATGTCTCTCTAATCTACTTTCTATATAAAAGTCAAATTATAAATATATTTATCCCAGTGATTGCTTTTCTTAGCTATTTATAGTAAAATGCAACCATTTTTATGGCTTAATCAGACTATTTTTAAAAAAATATGTTTTTATTGATTTCAGAGAGAGGAAGGGTGAGGGAGAGAGGGATAGAAACATCAATGATGAGAGAACTATTGATCAGCCGCCTCCTGCACGCCCCCTACTGGGGGTTGAGCCCTCAACCTGGTCATGTACCCTGACTGGGAAATGAACTATGACCTCCTAGGTTCACAGGTCAATGCTCAACCACTGTGCCATACCAACTGGGCTTACTCAGACTCTTATGATCTTCCTATTGTCTAACTTCCAGCCCCATCCAATATTATTTTCCTTTTTAATCCTCAGATCTCTGTGCACTGGCCTTTGTTTCTAGAACACAGTAAGCTCCTTTGCACCTGAGGGAGTTTGCAGTTGGCCGTTTCCCAGTGCTCTTTTCCCATATGGCCGTGTAGACAGCAACTGTTATGTTCAATTTGTGAGGACTCGCTCAAATATCATCTCCTCAGAGATCAATCCCTTAAATCACTCCTGCAGTTCTATCATATCATGTTGCCATATTTATTTCTTTTAGAGTCTATCACAACCTCAAATTATATTTTATATTATCTTGTTACTTTTATTGTATATTTTCACACTGAAAAATAAACTTCATGATGGCAATGATTTAGTCTTCCTCATTCACTGCTTATAACCAACTGCACCTAGCAAAAATGCAGCATTTTCTTGTCCTATATATGTGAATGATCAGGATTTTAGAATAATAAATCATTCTATTCATAGAGGACAGTAAGGTTTTCGCCAACATCTTGATGACACTTTTTCTAACATGGCATGTCTTCTTTTTGACAACATAAAAAATACAGTATAATTATTGAATTGTAACTAATGAAAAAAATCCTTTAAATAGCTGATTAATATATAGTTGCTAGTGAGGCCTCTCTTGGTGAGCTGAAATTATTTCCTTTTGACCTAGCTCATTTCAGTGTTTTCCTAGTGATTTGGATAAAATTATAGGATAATACTGTTAAAACTTTAGTTAAAAATAAGAGGATAAAGGAAACATATTAGCTGAAAGAACCCAGTCACAAAGAATTTGGGTATTCTAGAATATAGACTAAATCTAAATATCCAGATGAAATATACTAAGTATAATAATTAAACCATATATACTGAGCACTCTAAAACAAACTGCAAAGATAGAGAATGGAAGAAATACAGCTTAGCAAAAATTTACCCTCCAGAAAACCTGCAGGTTTTAGTTGATAGTAATCTCAATGTGAATCAACAGTATAATACTAGTAGCCTGGTGCACAAAATTCGTGCACATTAAAAGCTAAATATCCAGATGAAATATAATAAGTATAATATTTAAACCATATATACTGAGCACTCTAAAACAAACTGCAAAGATGGAGAATGGAAGAAATACAGCTTAGCAAAAATTTACCCTCCATGAAACCTGCAGATTTTAGTTGAGAGCAATCTCAATGTGAATCAACAGTATAATATAGCTATCAGAAAAAAAACCCCACTAATATGATTTAAATTTCTTCATCAAAGAATAAGTTCTAAAACTTATTTTCAATCTTCTATATACTTAAAAATTATTTTAAACACTGTATAATTTTTATACAGCACATCATGAATTTCAGAATTAGTATGTCTGGAGTACAACCCAGTGTGTGTGTGTGTGTGTGTGTGTGTGTGTGAGTATGTGTGTGTGTTCCACTTTTGCAAAATATAGTATATTGAAATAAAGTATGCACATACATTTAGATTTACTAATTCCACTTTCTTCAATTTATGATACAGATATACATGCACATATGCACACCAGTGTGTAAGCAAGGTTTTTATGCAGCTCTATCTGTAATGACAAAAGCTAAAGCCACCTAAATGTCTGTTGGTAGTAAATTGGTATGTTTTAGTATGGAAGATATCCAAGAAGATTGAAAAAGGCAAATTTCAGATGAATATGTATAATATGCCATATATTTTGGAAAAGAGGAGATAGATAGAACCATATGTTTTTGAAGAGCATAGAAAAGTTTTTAAAAGGTCCTGGTGAGAGTTTTAAAAGAAGTTACTTCCAGGAAGTAAGATTAGGGACAAAGAACAAGTAGGAATACTTTTACATTTCGCTTTATTTCTTTTAGTACCCTTAATTTTACTAGAAATAGATACTTCATTAATTTCTGAACAAAACCCAACCTATTAAAACAATTATAGATTGATTCTGGAGTGAATAAAGTTGAGAAAACAGGGTCGGGAGGAGCTTATAGGGTGGCATATAATTCTTATTTGTTAAATATGGTTGAGTTCACCTAAGTCTCAGTGAATTGGATCATTCTGGTTCTTACTGTGCCTAATGGACTACAACTACAATGCTTTGCCCAGTTACAGATGTCACACTTCAAAATAGAATTGTCACTTGGAGCATTGGGGCAGAGGATATCGGAAATAGTGACATGACTTGAAGCTATGTCATATGAAAAATTTATAAAAGCAACAGGGAATTTTTAGCCAGGAAAAGGTAAGACTTGGAGAAACATAATCACTGTCGGCAAATCTTGAAAGGGCTATGATGTGAAAGACTTCATTCTGAGGGCCCCGAGGGACAGGACTACAACCTCTAAGCAGAAGCTAAGAGGACAGGTACACATTTCATCTCAATATAGAATTAGTTTCTAATGGAAGTATGTATACTGGAAGGAAGTGAGTTTGTTGAGAAGAAAGGATTTGTGATTTCTCCATGCCACAGACATCTAAACACAAGGAGGGTGATGATGAGATCAAGCTTCTCATCATAAGAAAAAATATGTAACTATGGGAGGTGACAAATATTAACTAGACTTACTGTGGTGATCATTTCTCAATATACACAAATACAATCATTGTGGTGTACACCTGAAACTAATATGTTTTGTGTCAATTATATCTCAATTAAAAAATCATTATGCTCAGAGAATTAAGATAATGGAATTGTGAAAAAAGCTCAAAATATGATTTTAAAAAGGCAAAACATTATAGAAATATAATAGCTCTTAGAAACTAAAAGAAAGTGAGAGCAGAAATTAACACTCAACAGAAGAATTCAAAATAAGTTGCGGAAATCTTTAGGTTATAGATAACAAAATGGAGAGAAAAGATAAGGACATGAGAGAACCAGGTCAGGAAGCCCAATATCTGAAAACTA